CAACATCAAAGAAGTGCAACGGCTGACGGGACGCCTTGCGGCCCTGAACCATTTCCTTTCAAAGTCCGCGGAAAAATCGCTCCCCTTCTTCCAGATAATGAGGAAGGCCACCAGCTTCAAATGGACGACGGAGTGCCAACAAGCCTTTGAAGAGCTGAAACAATATCTCGCCTCCCCACCCGTCCTATCCAAGCCCCAACCCGGCGAGACTCTCTTCCTCTACTTGGGAGTGAGCACGTCGGCCGTGAGCTCTGTACTCATCAGGGAAGAGGACGGAGTACAAAAGGCAATATTATATTCTACGTCAGCAAGACGTTGCGGGAGGCCGAGCTCAGGTACTCCCCCATTGAGAAGACGGTGCTGGCCATCGTCCACACGGTGAAGAAGTTGGGGCACTATTTCTAGGCTCACCCCGTCCATGTCCTCACGCATCAGCCGTTGGGCGCCCTCATGAGGAGCCCAACCAGCTCCCCAAGGATGATCAAGTGGGCAATATTCTTGAGCCAGTACCAGATTGAGATCAAGCTGAGGAAATCTATCAAAGGGCAAGCCTTGGCTGACTTTGTCACGGAATGCACAGCGAGGGAGACGACCGCCACCACCAGCAGCCATGAACCAGATGAAGCCTGGACCCTCTTCACGGATGGGTCATCGGCCAACAAGGCATGTGGGGGTGGCGTCGTCCTCATCTCCCCAGAAGGATTCAGAGCATACTATGCCATCCGCTTCAATTTCAAGGTATCCAACAATGAAGCCGAGTATGAAGCGCTCCTCAGCGGGCTCAGACTAGCCGCTGGCCTCAAAGCACGCCACATCAGAATCAAATGCGACTCCAAACTCGTAGTGAACCAGATGGAGGGCTCCTACGAGGCCAAAGAGGGGAGAATGAAGCAATACAAGGAGGCCGCTGCGGAATTGCTCAAGGCGTTCGATACCTACGAGATCACTCAGATCCCAAGGGCAGAGAACGCCGAGGCCGACATGCTCTCCAAACTCAGCTCCGACACCCCTGAGCACATCTCCAAGATAGCGAAGGTGGAGGAGTTGAGCATGTCAAGCATTCACGCTAGCCCTATACTCTCCATACAACACCAGCCGGAGGATTGGATCATTGACATCGCAACTTACATCACCTCCGGCACACTATCTGAAGACGAGGAGAGGGCTAAACTCGCCAAACTCAGGGCGCCGAGCTATGTCATTGAGGGTGACAAGCTCTACAAGAGATCATACAATGGCACCCTCCTCCGGTGCCTACACCAGAATGAGGCCGAAGTGGCCATGGAAGAAGTGCATTGCGGCGTCTGTTCATCGCATCAGGGGCCCTTCAGCATGTCACGGCGCTTCGTCGTCCAAGGCTACTTTTGGCCGACGATGGCACGCGATTGTGCTGAAGTCGCCCGCAAATGCAGCGCATGCCAACACTATCAAAGGGCACCTGGCCGACCGGCCGTCAACTACGCCCCGGTCAGCACTGCCATCCCATTTTCCAGATGGGGCATCGACCTCGTCGGCCCGCTACCAAGAGCTGCAGGCAACAACAGATACATCATCGTCGCCATCGACTACTTCACCAAATGGGTCGAAGCCGAACCACTCGCAAGCATCACCGGAGCGCGGTGTCGAAAGTTCGTCTACAAGAACATCCTCACCCGCTTCGGCGTGCCCCAGGAGATCATATCAGACAACGGCACCCAGTTTGAAGCCGAACCGTTCCAAAGCCTCCTCCAAGAATGGGGTATCAAACACCGTTTCTCCTCCGTTGCCTACCCTCAGGCCAACGGGCAGGTTGAGAACGCCAACAGAACCATCTTGGAGGGGTTAAAGAAGAAGCTTGAGGAAGAAGGCGGAAGTTGGGTCGACGAGCTCCCCAACGTCCTATGGTCCTACCGAACTACTCCAAGGAGGGCCACTGGGGAGACGCCATTCTCCTTGTGCTACGGCTTCGAAGCCAAGGCTCCCACTGAGGTCACCCTCCCCAGCCGACGGGTCACACAATACGACCCCGAAGCCAATGAAGAAGCCATGAAGATTGACTTGCACCTCATTGACGAAAGGCGGGAGATGTCTTACCTTCAGGCAGAAAACTACAGACGCCAAGTCAAATCTTACTACGACGCCAAGGTCCGCTCTCGCGAATTCCAAGTGGGGGACTACGTCCTCCGCCGAAGGGAAGCGAGCAAACCAACGGAAGGAGGAAAGCTCGCCGTCAAATTTGAAGGGCCCTACATCATCAGCGCCGTCATCAAAGCCGGCACCTATAGACTAAAGAACCCTAATGGGTCAGATGTACCACGATTGTGGAATGTACACCATTTGGTAAAATTTTACCAATAACTCGAGAAGTGGTGAAGCGGGCAACGTCCCCCACCCCTCGGCGTATTGGTTGAATGAAACACCCTAGGCCTAGCGCCACTTATTGAATAAAGATCATGTTTCAATCCATTCTTTCAAAGGAAAAGCTAAAGACCGCATCGGCCTAAGCGGTGATAACACCCAGGACCGATGCGACTCAAAGCCGTCGCAATAAACGACGCACCCAAAGCCGTTGCAATAAACAACGCACTCAAAGCCGTTACAATAAACGACGCACCCAAAGCCGTTGCAATAAACAACGCACCTAAAGCCGTCGCAATAAACGATGCACCCAAAGCCGTTGCAATAAACAACGCACCTAAAGCCGTCGCAATAAACGACGCACCTAAGGCCGTTGTGACCCACAACGCGCCTACAAAGCCGTTGCATAGACAACGCACCCAAATATCGTATCGGCACAAGCGGTGAAACACCCAAATCGGCCGGCGATATGTAGGACGAAGGACCTGTGTGCATGGTCCGACGTCTTCAAACGGAGAAGCATACCACGTCGTCCGCGCGGAAACCGCAGGAAGACAAGCCTGAATTAAGGCCGAGGTTACAAAAACTCCACCCGTCAGTAAAATTTCGCTCAGGACCACAAAGGGCGACCGTCAAAAGACGATGCCTAGTCCGGTCCCTCGTCGACGATAGATGTGGAAAGGCCAAAAAAGATGCCACTGACACACCAAGCCGAGGGCGTATTTACTCCCTCTCACTAATCCACGCGAAAAACGTAAGCGGACAAACTACCGCACATGGACGAAGGGACAGTAACCCTTCGATCACCTAAAAAAAAAAAAAAAAAAAAAAGAAGAGGGAAGCCGACGGACCGCGCACTCGCCGGCCTCGAGCATAAAATAAAATCCCCACAAAAACCAAGCCTCAAAATCGGCTAAGTACATATCAGATTTCATCAAACAAGAAAAGTGAAGTACGCGCTTCGGCCTCAGCCATGACAACATAATATGGCATCGCTTCGTCCTCAACACTTCAGAATTAAGTTCCAAAAACTTGACTCGGAAAAGTTGTCAAGGCAAAAATGGAATTCATCAAGAGACGACGAGGCGCATCGTCTTCAAAGAATGGGGGTCGCTACGTCTCAATCAAAAGACGCCAAAACGGAATTGTGATACTTAGAAAAATTTCCAACCAAAGGTACGCGTTACTGGACACATCGTCCCTACAACAAAGGACAACATACCCAAGATGTTGCGCCACCCACATCGTCCTCATGAGGCACCCGGATGAAGCTTCGCATCGTCTTAAACAAGCAAGGCATATTTGGGTGCCCACACTTAGAAAATTTCCAAGGAAAACAATCTACATAAATACACAGACAAGGGACGCTTCGTCTCAATCAAACCGGGGTGTAGGCAACTCTGACACTTGGCAAAAATCACGAGAATTAAACACATATGAAGTTAAGGCGATGAAGACGAAGCAACAACACATCCATTCAAAGGCAAAGGAGTTCATTAATTTCGGATGTCAAGTACATCAGGAGGGCGCTTCGGCCATTACACACATCAGGGCGCTTCGGCCATTGAGACTACTACTACAAATGAAAAAAGAAAACGAAGTACAAGGAAACACTAAACAGCTTGTCCTTGGCCACCCTCAACGGCCCCACTATCGGCGTCGTCCTCGACATCTTCGGCGGTTTTTGACTTGGCTGAACTCCGGAAGAGATAGTCGTCGCTTTCAGTCCACGGCTCTTTTTCTTCATCGGAGCTCAGAATAGGGCGCTGCCTTTCGGCCAGTGGAAGCTTCAACTCCTCTTCAGGGTCCTTCATCAGCCTGAAGAGGAGTTACTTTCGCAGATGAAAATGTACGACTATTATATCTAATTGCACATATGGTGACGTAACATAAACATTAACAAATATTAAATTTTATGTAGGTATATGTTGCTGAACAGAATATCATAGAAGATAGTGAATCTAATAAGTGTGAGCCAATCAGTAAAGAAGAAAGAGATGAACAAATCAGGAATTGTTCGCAACTTTAAGGATGAGGTAATTGGTTATATTGAAGACCAAAACTTCAGAAAAAATAAAATAGTACAGATGGTTAATAGAATTACAGAGACATTAATTTCTTATTATAATGACATATGGAACTTACCATGAAGTTATAAATGCACAAGATGGAAATACGAGTGTTATTGGAGCTGAACAGAAAGGCTTTAAAAGGTCAAAAAGGACTGCTAAGAGTCCTGACAGATACACTCCTACCCAACCACAGAATCCAAGAAAAGCAAGATGGAAAGGGCACTAAAGAGGAGAAAAGAGACAAAAATTTCTGAAGTGATTGGAATTGCAGGCCCATTCAGTGAGGATCCAAAGCAAATGCCACCTACAGAAGATTTAGAAAAGGTGAAAGAATTTATGATGGAGGGGCTAGTAAAGAACCATGCCAGCAATGTCTCAAAAAATACAAAAAGAAAGAAGAGGAACTAGTGACATGCAAGTTTGGGCTTCAATTGGACGAGTTTAACATAAGAACCAAGACATGGATTTATGAACTATTCACAAATCCACATTGGTTGACTGACACGGTAAGTGTATAAAAATTTATGTAATATATAAACTATAATACTATATCATAAAAATCATTAAGAAATTGATTTTTATTTATTTCAGCATATTGGAGTGGCATTTTACTACCTGGCAGTGAAAAGAAAGCAGTACCAGCTGCAGCAAAAATATGCCACAACAGATCCTTTGTTTCTCGGGGCGCTCAAGGTGAAAGCTGAAATGGTGCTTAATGATAAAACCACAATGACAGATGCGGCTTATAGTGGCACAATAATGAACACAATGTTTGGATCAAATAGAGGACATGGAATGCCATGAGCAGAAGCCGATTATGTCTACATGCCATTAAACATAGCAATGCATTGGATACTGTTGGTCTTAGACATTAATGGTAAACGAATAAAAGTCTATGACTCCCTAAAGAGAAGAGGAGATTCGCTGTCAAGCATTAGGGTCTTCATTCCTTGCTTGGAGAATTTCCTACCAAAGGTGATGGAAAGGCTGGGTGTTTATGACAAGCGGCCAGAGGCACATATTGGAAAAGGAAAAATTCGAATAGAGATGGTCCGTAACTGTCCACAACAGGAGGATGGGTATGTGGGGCTCAAATATTATATTTGTAACATATTTTAATGTATTATGCTTGTTTACCTTTATATTAAAGAATTTATCTCTTTACAGGGGCAATTGTGGTATGTTTATCATAAAGTTTGCTCAATTTCTAATGATGGGTAGAGAAGTGACTGAAGTTTCAAACCAAGACATGGAAATGTACCGACACAAAATGATGACAGAGTTGCTGATGTATGCATCACGAGGAAAGGGTTTGGCTTAATATGATCTATTGATATGCAATTAGACTAAAATGATTTGTAATGAATAAGTGTTTTGAAAGGAATGAAACTTGTAAAACTTCCATCGTTTGGTCATTAATACTTGTTCTTGTAATGTTCATTTGATCATTTTTTGGGTGTCATATCATCAAATGCTTGTTCATGTTTCATTTGATATTCAGTTTAAGTATAATATCTGCTGAAGTGAGGATTGAAGTGCATAATCAGACATTAATTAGTCGTTAATCGCATATGCGTAGACATTAATCGTGTACAACCACATTAAGCACAACAACTAATACAAACGTCAAAGTAAAGCAAATATGAAACCTAATAAATTAAACTAATGAAGTGATGTGTTAATACAATTACCATTTTAAGGTATAATAGTCATTACATGATATGAATATGAATATAATGTTTCTTTTTGCAATTGATATGAACATAAAGTTAGTAAACGTACAAAAGGTATTTTGAAAGTTGGTATTATTCATAAAGGTGTTTCAATATATAAATATGCAATGTGTTTGTTTTGAACATTAAATTAGTATAATATTGAAATATGTTTACATTACTAAGTACGAAAAGGTGGGATGGGTATAATTTTAGTCTACATGCAAAAGTAAAGTCTTTGATAGTTCATTCATACTAGTGGCAAAGGAACACAAATCACAAGAGGCCATAACACATGTCACTATCAAAGGCTAAATTAACATAGATTATAATTAAGGTCTTCTTATAGACATTAATCCGTACATAAGTAGACAATAATTTGCATCGATAAAAGCAAACTTGTTTGCTTTATAAGAAACAATAAAGTCAATATCAATAACAAAAGTACATATAATGAAACTCCAAAATATAATTCCAATGAACATAGAGTCCAATGCCAACAAACCGTGGCAGCTAACAATAGTGATGAATGAAAGCAATAAAAGTCTTACAATTATTAGTATAGGAAATAAAAACCAAAGCACAACAAACTATGAAACTAAACTCCACAGGATGGGATAAGATTTGTGCAAGACTTCTTATTGTGTCCTCCTTTCTTACACAGTGAACACCGCTGTCGGGAACCAAACTCTCCAGTTGAAGGAATACGATTCTTTTTAGGTCTACCGGGTTGGCGTGTCAAGCATGTAGGTGGCCTGCAGATTTCAGACGCCACAGTAGCAGGAACACCCCAATCACAGCGAGAACCAAGAGGGTGAACTTCACCTGTATAAGCAGCAACCCACTCTCGTGTGAAGTAAAAGTTTGAGATGTAATCGTAACACGATAAGCCTCGACGATGGCCTACAACTGCAACTCCATGTACACATATAAAGTGATCAAGCTGAAATTCACAACATGAACATGTCTTGTCTTTCAAATTAACAACGAAGCTTCTCGATGTTCTGTCCACCACCTCAAATTCATATTGACTAGCAGGATTCACCTAAAAAATAAATAAAAAGACTAACAGTAGTTACACCTAAAACATGTGTGTAAAAAGATGATAAGAACAAAAATATAACAATGCCAAAAAAGGTAGAAGGTAATACAATTAAAGTCATAAGAGCTGCCTCGACATGATAAGAACGAAGTTGAGACTCAAAATAGGCAGAAAGAATTGTTTTACAACTTGATGACGCATCACGATGTTCACAAAACCATTTTTGCATCCTTCCACGCAAAACTCTATCAGTTTTGTTATAGGATACTCACGGGGCACACGGTCCATTAAATTCACCGACTCAGCATTGTTAGATGTCATCAATGAATACCTAGAACTAGTACAAAAACAACGAGCCCATTTCTCAACACCTATTTCATCCAAATAATCACGGATACGGGGATCTTCTGCATCTAATAAAGCCATATACTCTTCAAATTGAGGAGTGGCAACCCTAGCAGCCTTATTAAACTTCCATGCAAGACCTGTAGTAGACCCCTTGAATTTTGATATAATATTTCCTAGGATATGGTATACACAATAGCCGTGTACAGCATGCGGAATGACCACTTTTGCTGCATGTATAATACCATCGTGACGATCTGAAACAATATACAAGTCCTCCCTATTCGCTAGACACTCCTTCAGTTTCATAAAAAACCAAGTCCATGTTTTTCTTCGCTCAGTATCAACCACACCAAACGCCAAAGGGAAAGTCCATGTTATTCCCTTATAATACTCTTTCATAAACGAACCATCAATAAAAAGAACTGAAAAACAGTGTTTCCAGCCTTCAGTCCAAGCATGTAATGACATGAAGAAGGACTTAAATCGATTATGCACACCAACATCTAATAAAATCAATGAACCAGGATGTTTCTTTTTAAGAACATAAGCAATGGAGGGTAACAATTGATATGACTGCTCATCTGAACCCATCAACTTTTCTTGAGCTTTCTTGTTTGCAAGCCAAGCTTTCTTATACGGTATAGTCAAACCATAATCTCTATTTAAATCAACAATAATATCTTTTGGAGCATAAGGTTTCCTAGATGCATCCGCATACCGGTGTTTGATGAGTTCAACAATTATTTCTGTGGTAGCTTGGCGGTGGGGACCTGGCCTCACATCCAGGGAGCATGTATGTTCAGAATCAAACCTGGGGAATTGTACAACAATAAATAGTCATTAAAAAGACATTAAGTAGACAATAAGTGAAAAATATTACAAAATCATATTTTAAATGTGCAGTTGAGTAACAAAAAGTACCTTCTTATTTGAAACATTTGACATCCATCCAACCTCACTGCACGTACAACCCAATCACAACCCTCCTCATCAACACAAACAACATGCAAGATTTTTTTAGTTGATGTCCTAGTTGTGTATTGGAAAAGATTTAAAATGGCATACATCTTCAAATGATGGGATAATGATCTAGATAGACTTTATAGCAATACGAGTAGGATGAAAGTGACAGATTACTTGGATATCTTGAAAATCATGAAAATATTCTAAATCAAAGTGCTCATGAACAACAAGACCTTCACCGTCTGAAGATGTAGGTGAAGAAACTTCATTGCTAGAACAAAAAACGTGTGTATGTAATGGATTGGTATCACCACAACAAACTGAAATATCAGCATTCGTAGCATACATATCCATAGACATTTCTTCAGTTTGAGGGGAAGAAACATCAAATGTGTGATGATGCATGACAGAATTATCTTCAAGATGCTCAAATTCACCATTTGCAGACACATTCAAATCAAATGCAGGAAGCTGAGAAGAGAAGTGAGCAGGAGTAGACACAAATACCCGAAACAACTCAACACACAAAGGATACTTGACATATTCAGGTTGTGATTTTTTAAGAGCCAAGTAAAATAACAAACTATAATCATCATTAACAACAACTGGAGGAGGACATTCTTCAACCAAATAACTAATTTTGATCCGTTCATTCGCAGCAAAAGCACCAATGCACGAATAGACCAAAGCAATAAAAGGAGTATACAATGTCTCATCCGGAACTATGAGACCACAAGTTCTTTTATTACAGAAAACATGGCAATCATTCCAACTCCCATCCACCTTTAGCATAAGCAACATTTTAATCTGTAAAAAAACTAAACATAAGTAAATTCAAGCAAAAAGTTCATCACATAGTACATTCATGTCAATATGTAACTGTGTGATTACAAAAAGTCATATCTAATATATTTAAGTTTGAAAAACTAAATGCAATAAAAAATAATAACACAAGCTGCAACAAAACAGTAATAACTTCTAAAGTGAAAGATATAAGAACAAAACACAGAAAAAGTAATCAATAAATTAAAGTCAGTGATGGAGTATATGGCCCAAGAACCCCCGGCCCACAGACTCCTACTTCTCCCACACAGGCCCATCAAGCCCAATGATCACACGAGGCCCAAACACAGCTGCCCAAGTTTAAAGAAGCCCACGACGCACATATGGAGTGCCTTCGGCCCTATGGCCGAGGGCTCCAAATTCCACAGAACAACTAGATTTGAGCATACAAAGCTACTGGGAGAAAACGACAGAAATCAGGAGCCTTCGGCTCATAGGCGCCCTCGGCATAAGGGTAGCCTTCGGCCACAGGAGAGCCTTCGGCCACAGAAGAGCCTTCGGCTACAGCACACTCATCGAAGATTCCCTTTGGGGACAAACAACAACCGCATTTAATGTGGCGTCACTGATACGTTTGTAATTTCCGTGTGTTTATTTACATTTTTAGTTAGTTTTGGTTGTTTAGTATTTCGGAAATTACACACTTTCGGTGTAATAGTTTAGTTTGTTAAATTCTTGTAAATTGTTTAGATTAGGTTTATTCTGAGCTCAAACAGGTCTAACATCACTCAAGGACAGTTGGTGAACCCCAAAAGTGGAAGGAAGGTGCAAAATCACAAGACAAAAGTAGGAAATCCTGATTTTTGTCTATACTCGGTCGAGTATCTCATATACTCGATCGAGTATCTGGTTGAAATTTCAAATCGGATCGGATCCGAAAACAAAGGAACATGCAGAAGAAGATTTCCCCACGATCGAGTGTCTATACCCGATCGGGTACACCGACATACTCGATCGGGTATAGCTATGAATTCTACTCTAAATTCGATCGAGTATGGATCGAATTCAGCTTTCTACACATACTCGATCGAGTACATATATATACTCGATCGAGTACCCGACCTGCACCCCAAAAAAGCCTATAAATACACCTCCTTTCCTTCACAATAGATTCACCAATTCCTTTATACTCTTAAGCTCAGTTTAGAATAGAATTTCTCTATATTTCTTTTAGCATGTTTAGTCTCCAAATGAGGAGCTAAACTTCCATTTCTTGGTTTTGCTCTTGAAGCTTGATTGATTATTAAAGTTGTGAGTTATTTTCTTACTTTCTCCTCTTGATTATTAATTCTTCCCTTAATCTCATTCTATATCATTGTTGGAGGGTGGCTAAGTGACGATTAGTTAACGTTCCAACATTGATTATTACTAGAAACGTTCAACGAACCGATGGTTAAACGTTG